GGCTGAATAAAAAAACCACATAAAGCATAAATATTCCGTTTTCTTCAAAGTCGGAACAATAAACCGCGTAAGGCTTTCAGGATCATTAATTAAATCTTTACAATGCACTTAAATTGCTCCAGAGCATATCCGAATTGGTAATTCTCAAATTCCCAAAACATTACAAAAAATAATCAAAGGTGAAACTGTTTTTTTTTTACAGTTGAACTCGGGGATTCGATATCTTTAAGGTGTATAAAAACATTTTGATAAAAACTGATAATTCTATCGCCAAAATTTGACAGCAAAAAACCATATAAGCATAAAGATTCCGCATTTCTTCGGAAGTCGGGAACAATAATACCCACAAATCTTTCCAAGACAATTCTGTGCCGATAACAAGATCTTGCTGTGAATTGCCGAGACAAGAATCTAACACTACCAACAAAAATTTTTCAAAAAACCCTCAAATGCCAACTGGTACTGCCAACCAGAGTAATTCGATAAATGTTTATACTGCAAAACAGTAAAAGATCGATCTTTTTTTGGTTGATTCAACAGGTGCAAGCCATTGGATGTTTATTCCCACAGCTCGTTAAATCAAAATCATTCCGCATCGACGTGGAGCTGCACGTTGTTAACAAAGCAATATGCAGTAAAAACTAAATCTGAGAAAATCGACGATACACAACATAAAGCATTGAAACAGAAAAAATTAGGAATCGAACTTGAAATCTTGCCCCTTCAACGGTAAACTCATTTGCACCGGACTACTGACACCATACAAATTGATACTTTAAAACATAGGTTCGTTCACTCATGCTGACTAATAAATAACAGTCATCAATAAACACGATTTAATTAAAGGATATAGCTCAACAGCGTAACAAAAAAAAGTTACGGTTGAAAAACAATACTCGGGTTGGATATTCTGTCTCCAAATAGCACAATAATAATTTGGAGATGAAAAACCTCGCGTTCTCGCTTCTGCAGCTGCTTGGAAACTAGCCACCGATAAAGCAGCTACAGATGCTTTTTAAAATGCCGATGCTAAGCATTGAAGCAAAATTGACACCAAAAAGGACACATTTATTCGCCAGTTTGGTTGGAAAAAAGTAGAGTTCGTATTATGACACTATGCTCAAAGCTGGCTAGTGTAAACACAACATTGTATGTAGGGGGCTGCAATAGTGGGGAACTCAAATTGAGCTAGTTTTCCATATTAAAACAAAGAAGTTGTCATCTAAAAAGCGAGAAACACTTCGGTAACATTTATTATGAAGTAACTTTTACAGTTTACAACGCTAAGTTTACCTTGAATAACGTTGTGTGTAACAATGAGTCATCTATTCAATACCCGACTCTATCCTCTAGGCCAATGCCTTTTCACAAAATCAATTCGCTCAGCTAACAATAAAAGGCAGAACAGAACTGTGCTTGAGCGGCATTGATCTTACTGTTTCATATCTCAAGGATATTTTTGATTATACTCACCCTATTTGATGAAAAATCAAAACTTTATAACAAAATTGAATGAATACATATTAAAAAGGCAAGAGAGTAACTTACGACTAGCGAAAACGAAGCAATTCACTTGATTAAGCCTCAAACTGATTCTGTTCTCTGCTTTACTTTTCATTTTCTCCACTTAAATTCAAAAACATGAGGCCAAATGATTTTATTGTGTTTTTTTCTGCTAAGTTGTTTCAATGCTCGTGATATCAGTCCTGCACATCTACCTTAACTTAGTCCAAATTGTTATTATACATTTAATATTTCATCTGTTTTTTTTATTAGTTGGGGGGTATAATTAATTTCATTTTTCAATGACAAACATAGTTTTGCTCAATTGAGAATATAATTAGTGTTAAAAGAGGCCTGTTAACCTCGTAAGCACAACCAAAAAATTGCAAAAAAGTAGCTTAAAGGGGTCAAAAAAACGGAAAAAAATGAAATTAATTAAAAAAAAGATCTGCTATGGGTGATATGTTACAATAAGTTGTAATTTTGAGTAATGAATTATAGTCAGAACTACAATGCATAATATAGTAATTTCCTTTTTAATCAATTGTACTACTACTACTAAGATAGTTTTTGTAAATACTGCAAACTGAAATTCTATTCGAAAATTCAAATTTTACACTTTTGCCAAAAAACTTGGTTTTTGAAATAAATAATGAATAATGTGCGAAGTATAACAAAAAGAGATCCATCAATTATAATTGTACATACCATCTATTGTTATACATCATTGAAAGCAATGGATGGAAAGCACTACAAAATGGGTAAATATGCCAAGAAAACATCAACGTTTTTTTATCAATCAGCCACTGCGAATTAACGTTTGTCTATTACAAAATCTGAATAACAGAGCAAAACTCATGATAACTATGTAGATTTAAAGGTCAAAACAATTAAGTGTTTGAAATTTTCAGTACGAGATATTTCTTTGATTTCATTTTTTGCGCGTTTTTTGTTAAACAGGACACTATCCAGCAGAAAAAAATTTAGATGGTCAAAATAATTCTAACGAAAATTGTTTTTTTTTTTCATAATTCTCAACTAAGAGCATATTCTACATAGAAACTGAGGCGAAGCAATAAAAAACATAATCAGTCGGAAAAAAAAGAAAGATGTTGAAAAAAGTAGGTCGACCAAAACTTTTACCAAACTTTTCCTAGTCCGATTTGAACTCGGGACCTAACAAGGTACCACCACGAGTCCAGACGATTCCTGTAAACTAAATTATTTACTGAAAAAAGTCTAGTACTTCGTTGCTGCACCAATTGATTTAAGTAAACATGTTACTTTTTTAAAATTACATTATTTTTTCAATTTATCATTTGCAAAATAAAAACCTTGGAAAACATGTCTTTTCTAATTTCAAGAAGTTTTTCAAGATGACACAACCAAAGTTTGCTAAGTATAAAAGATTTTCAAATTTCAAAAACTTCTTTTACGGTCACTTCTCTGATGAACTGTTTGAAGAGCTGGATCATTAGGTACTTTTTTCATTACCGGTCTGCACAAAAATCTCGGTCTGCAGATTTTTACCTAAATTATTCAACATTGACTTAATAAAATTATAAATTTTTTCAGAATTTCCTTTATATCATAGTAGTCGGAGCAATATGTGCTACTTATACAGCAACCGGCTATCCTCATTTAAAAGTTGACATTTATACACCAGACCAAAGTTATCACAAATTGTACCATATTTATCATAAAAACATGCCATAGTTATCACAAAGGTGAGGCAAAAAGTTGCTCACAAAGACAAGCGACAAAAAGTTGCTCCTAGCACGCAAAAATTGAAATACAAAAAATTCATAATTAACCTTGAAAATGCTGCTATGAACCGCAATTTAAATATCGTTCTTGAGATAACTGGTCGCATGGCCTCAAAACTGCGCTATGGTCAGCTCAAAGTATGCAATCTAGCCACAAAGAAAACAGCTACAAATGGCCACAACCATGTCACAACACAAAAAAAAGCCAACATACAGTGAGAAAAGAATCAATGATTTTTTCAAAAAACAATTCAAGTATCAAATTTCAAATAATGGATGTCTTTACAGCTCTTTGAATTTCAAGAACAGTTTACGATTGGCACTTGTTTGCTAAATCTAACTCAAGTTGAGAAAAATGGAGTAGTAGGTAAATAATTATTCCGCTGAGAAATCTAAAAAATTAAATTCCTTTTTCAAAACTGATATCGATCTTTCTTTTTTTTCGAGCCACATCCTCTTTCATACTTGGAGAGCGAGCTTTGATTACCTTTCATCAACTGAACTTCAAATGAACTTGACAAGCAATCACATATGAAACATTTAACAATCAAAATTGAGCATGAACAATTTAAATCACTATGTAAGTGATAAATCACTTCGTTTTTTAACACTCAAATCAAAAATTTTATAGACCTTAGGATTCAAGAATTCTCCCAAAAAAATTATCACGACCTATATAAGAATCTGAACTACATTCATAAACACTTAATCGCCAATAATACAGCGATAAATTGCTACTAATAAGCATCAAAACTGCCACCAAAAGGAGATTTTACTTGTGAGTTAGGTTAGAAAAAAACGAATTCAAATATAACAAAAGGCTGTTGTTGTTGTAAACTTGTTTACTGCATGTACGGGTTTCTGACATGGTTTGATTGCTTGGTTGTCTGTCTCTAGATTTGTTTTACGATGCTTGGTTGGTTGCCAATCGTTTATTTTCTAGTACTCTGGTTCAGTTGAAACAGATTGATTTGTTGGTTTCGGCTCCTCCCGTGGCAAAAATGCACCATGGTTCTCCCGGGGTGCCCCTGGGTAGGAGGAGAGTCCCCCAATTCCAGTGCAAGGCCCGTCTATTGTAACAGCGTCTTGCCTATTTGCTAGTGGCACGATTCGATTGTGCCAGTGGTTAAGGTTGGTTGTGTTGTCGGCTCGAAGTAACTAGTCATCATATGAGCCATGCTGTTAGCTGAGGTTTAAGAACACAGCAGATTTTATGGAGTCTACTGTGAGGTCTGTCGGATTTTGTTGACAGTTGAACAGATGTTTGGTATCGTGCGGCACAGTTTTGCATAGAGGGAATTCATTTGTCCTTCGAGGATCCAGTCTACTCATGTAGGAGTTTAGGCGGGTACTATTACCGGAACGTAGTTGTGATAGAATGACTTTAGTGTCTCGTGATAGTTTGGGTTCGTCCTCATTAATTTTTGTTGGGCGGGAGCCAGTGACTTTGTAGTAGTTGCAACGGATAAATCTTGACACATCATTCCGATGAAAATTTCTCAGTGCTTTTTGTTATTCAACCATGTTGATTTCTTTGTTCTCATCCAAAAACAACTCAATTTCATAACAAAAGGCTCGCGTGTGCTGGTAAAAAGGACTTTCAAATTTTGCGATCGTAGCTGAAAAAATTCTTGCAACATACTGCAGCATACTTACTATCGCAAAGTTGCTCATGTGCTCGCGCTTTAAAATTCTAATTTCTGCGATAACTTGTTAATTACTGTTAAAACGGAAATCTTAAAGATTAAAATTCTAAAATGTACAAACTCATTTATCAAGATTCGATTAAATTCTATTCAAAATTCAGTTCAAATAACAAATTGAAAGACATAGAAAAAAAATTACATAGCAAAAACCCCACAGTCGCTCCCAACAAGCATTTCTTTTTATTCAAAACTCTTGAGTTGTGAATTTCGTAAAATGAGTTTATTGCTATGTATATCCCGAAAAGATCTGCAAAGAGTCAAGTTACTATTGTGCGTGATTATGTTACAACTATGGCCTTAGACACACAATGACCTGTCGTCTGCTCGATCAATGCTGGCCATATAAAACTGACGACCTCTTCTTTGCTCTGATCAGAAGAGTGAAATCTGTTCATACATGTTGGATCAAAGTTGGTGTGGTGGTAGTTAATGTGGTAACTGGGGTTAGATAGTAGTAATAACCAGGCCAGTTTGCAGCACTCTCTCACATAGTTCAACAGTGGTTTGCATGTCTTAAGTGAGGGATAGTCGAAAAGTGTCTGAAACAGCTGCTGACAGACTTCGTTGAAGTTGGGGTCTGTGTTTCTAGAGGCGGCTGTCTTCCGCATCTGTTCCATCACCACTTTCTGCATCTCTTCCTGCTCTTCTGAAGTGCTCAGATCACTCGCAGATTGTACTGGAAACAGACCTTCAAAGATTGATCAACACAAAAAACACAATTTTCGAAGCAACATTATAAATCTAGCGATCAGGTTAGAAAATTAACTGAGTTCAATTACATCAATACTTTGGAAAAAATAGTTTTAATATTATATTGTGATACTTGCGAAAATACACTAAAAATTTGCTTTGTTTGCATTTCAAGAATATCCAAAAGAAAATTTGATCTACTTTGATTTAAATTTTCAACTGTTAGCTAACATCTATTTTGAGACTACATAAGCGTTCCTTATAATAATTTATTAGCTGAAAGTTAGTAACTTTGGCGTTTCCCATTTATCCCCTTAAAGTAGCTTTTACCTCTAGTGTGCTTTGGAGATCCAGAGTTCGATCCAGTTGGCGTTGATGAAGAAGATGCTGTGGAGGCAGTGGTCAGACCAGTCAGCTTCTTAGTGACTGCCTCCGCCGCATCCTCCTCACTCACAGCAGACATTCCGAGAAGCACAAACACCTGTCTAGTCGACTCCTCGATACTTCGCTGCACAGATCGGAACGAAAGCTAAAACAACAGAACCATGTTCATGCTTTTCAAGAGAAACTTCAAAAAATAAGTTGCGTTCTCGAAGCGCATTTTCCTCTAACAAACTCGGTTTTGTGGTATGAACTAGCAGCGGAGATCTATTTTCCAATGAACTTTTTAAAAAGATACCGTGTATTCGTAAACAACATGAGCCAAAAGATGGATACATTTTCCACAAAAACCGCCACAACTAAGTCAAAAAACATTGTAGACGCCTCCGTTCAATCATTTATCCATTTCCGCATTAAAAACCGCAACTCACCACCACGACTGAGAAGAGTATCTTCTGCTTCAAGTCAGTACTGTGTGCAATTGCCTCCACATTAGCCGAGTCACTGTCGCTGATCTGCTGGTGGTCATCCGCCTCACTCACTCCTATGATGTCATCCAGGGCATCCATCGCATCTGGTCTCAACTCGCAGTAGAGCAGCTGGCTGTATCTCTCAATCAGCTGGCTCGGTCTGTTAGAGTCACTCAGAGTCTCAAAAGAGCCACTCGATTCCACTTTGCGCTGAATTGAGTCAGATATTCTAAAGCACAACCAAGTCTTCTTTAACCTTGTAAATGTTGTTATTAATATACCTACAATTAAAGCTTGATATAATAACTTCACGAAAGGTTTAATCAAACCACTACCAAGTTCAAATTCGGATAAGAGCCTGTATCTATGTTTATAGAAGCGGAGAAATTATGATGTGTTTAAGATCTTCAACTATCAGTCGAAATTTCGGAGGCCCAACATGACCCTAGCTCTTGTCTGAAGCTTAGAACTTATACCAGTCCAGAAAATGAACCACAAAACGTATGACGGTTTAATCAGAACAGCGGTTCTGCCTTCAAGTTGTATTTTCCTGCTTTCCTTCCTAAAAAGATGATTTTAACATCTGGATATCTACGTTTTAGACAGAGTCGAAGCTACACTTCGCAAACACAAGCAAAGAAACGACAAGTATCTCAAAAAAGGCAAAATGAAAAAAAAACAATAATTTCCAAAAAATCTCGCAAGCTTGCTGATATATTTATTATAAATTGGTCCTTGATTCTGGAGATACAAATTTTCATGGTTTGAAATTCAAGAACACATTTAAAAGACATTTTAAATAAAAATAATAGCAACAATACTTTTCGTGTCTTCAGTTTTAACCAACAGTTTATCCCACTTTAAATAAGAAAAACTCGTCCAGTTGCTAATTATTGGATGATACCGATTTTTTTTGCATGCAAACAAGCATGAAATTACAGCTCCCCAAACTTCTTCAAGCAAAAAGTTAGCTACAAATCTTCAATCAATTACTTTTGATGTTGCCAAAAAAATAGTCAAGTACTGTACGTTCGTGCAGTATAGGTATATGTTCTTGCATTATAATTTGTTAAAATTGTCTACAAACTATAAATGTAACATATTTGAGTGACCGTGCTGTGTTAATAAACTGTGAATTAAAAAGTATGTATTGATTTAGATGCAAGTACCATATTAAACTTGAATGCTTCTGAAGATTTGATGGTTTTATAACTCAATGAATATGCTAATTGCCATTAAACGTTTAAGCCGGTGACTTGACTTGAGATCAACAATTGGATCTGGAAACTCTTAAGAAAAAATTATTGCATCGATAAAATTTGAGATTCAATTGAAGGCACTTTCCAGATCTAAATTTAATTGAGAAAATCGTGCATACATAAAACAGTCCAATACGACATAGCCCCATAAAAACAGTCCAAAACGCCAAGAACATAGCCAACAGAGTTTGAAAACAGCCAATGAACGCAAGTAGACAGAACAAAACACTGTCTTGTTTATTGAAACATCTCAACTTTCGAATTTCAAAGAAAAACAAAGCCAACACTCGGTTGGAAAAGAGACAATGAACGCAAAAAAAAACAAATGACTTGTTTTTTGAAAAAATTTCAACATTCGAATTTCAAACAAGATAAATTAAAGCTCTTTGAAATTCAAGAGCATTTTATAATTGGCATTTTTCATAAATTTAACCCAATTTGAGTAAACTGGATTATCCGTTGGGAAATCTGTAACTTAAATTCCACCTTCGAAACCTGAAATCGATCGCATTTTTTTCGCGCCATTTCAGTTTTCATCATTGAAGGTTTATTTTGCCTACCTTCTAGCTAATGAACTTGAATTAAACTCAAAAAGTGTTAAGGGTATTCATATGTGCATTTATAATAAGGAATGCCCTTCTTTTGTTATCAGCGCATCATCGCGAACTATAGAAGAGTCTGAACAACGTTCATCGACTCTTAAAAAAAGATGACCTTGAAGCTCTGAAATTTATGATTGACACTTTTTTGATTGAATCAACCCAATTTGAAAAAACTTGGCCAAGGGAATTCGAAAAAAATCAGCTAAGAAACTTTGCAACACATGCATACAAACGATTCTAACCATTGAGTTGACGCAATATCAGGTGATTAGGCCGATATATCATCGCTCATAATAAAAGTGAACGAAGTTGGCTCCTCCATCTTTGGTATATTTTTTCTCGACGAAATCTTTTTATAGCTTGTTGATTCGCAAAAGAGCATGAAAATAACTGCTGCCGCGGTGTAACATCATCGCAAACTTCTGTCCGATATTTGAAAGTGTTTTGAAATTAAACTTTTTGATGTCAGCAGGATCGTGAAAGTAGCAGTGATCTTTAAGAATTTCAGAAAAATCATTTTTTTTTTCAAACGCGTCCATTACAACTGCTTTGTGCGCACCGCCAAGAAAAGGAGTTATCCGACAGTTCTCGATGCTTAATGAAAGCATACCCTTCAAAATTAACAGGTCAAAGTTTTAATTGAACCGAACTAGCATAGACCGCACCTCCGATGCTTCAAACATCAGATAAAAAAAGTGAAAATTGTATATAAAATATATGAAAAATAACGAAATGAATACAACCGTAACAATTGACTGATTATCTGACAACGCTTTTAATTTCAAAAACTGAACAAAAAAAATAAATTCAACTTAAAGATTCTTGTGAAACTAAATGAGTCAAAACTGGGTTTCAGCTCTTAGTACTTTTAAATAAGTAACATTCAACAGCACTTTCCATTTCCAAAAAACTTTTGAAACTGTTTCATTACGAAAATCATTAGGCTCATAAATGAGATTCATGTTTAACTTAATTGTTACTTTCATTTGCCCGTACCCATTTCATTTGCTGTCATCAATTGTTAAATCCAGATCAATTAAATTGAAAATATTTTTCAAGACTCTTTTTTTCTTAGTTTAATTTTTTTCGAAACATCAATAAATGTCAGTTTCAAAAAAAACAAACAATTTGAGCAACTTTTGAATTTCAAACTTTCTTTTTGAGATCTAAGTTTTTGAAAATTTGTGCTAGATCATGAAGTACGGCTTGTCTCGGAACCTAAGACAATCTGACTAATTTGCTACAGGGTTGTGAAATTCCAACGTTGTGAAACATTTTCATATCTGTTTCTTGAAAACGTATCAAAAAAAGTCATAATATAATAACGTTATATCTCGGAAACCAAATGATGTTGAAAAAGCTTAAATATTGCGAGATAGTAAGGCATTAAAATATATGAAAGATACTTTCCATTGCTGGTAAGTAAAAAGTAAAACATCGAAGTGCTGATAGTTATTTACTCGCTGACAAGCTACCTACCAGAATCATCGGGAAAAATTTTTTTATCAGATGGTGAAACAGTCATTTCGATCAATCGGGCAATGTTTCGGATAGTTTAGAATTGGACTTATGTTATGAACTTTGTTATGGTTTTTTCAGATTTTTTCTGTATTAGACTGTTTTGGACAGACACGGAGAAAATGCATCATATGAGAACTAAAAATATATACACCGAGGCAAAATTCTTAAACACAAGCTAAAGGGTAGAAATTAAAACCTTTCAAAACAATTATTAAAACAATCTTTTGAAAATTTTAAAAAACTGTCCAAATTCGAAAAACAAAAGAATATGAGCAGTCACGTTTGGAGGCCACATCTGCAACTTTGAGAGTAACTTAACTTCAACCCGCCATTGGGTCGAGCGTTTTATTTTTTGAGAAGTTTTTAAGAATTTTTAAATTATCACTAAATTGTCGTATCTAAAAAACATCGGAAAATTAGTTTTCTTAAATTTTAGAGAAATAAGTTCTCTGAAATTGTTGAAAAATCATAAAAAAAGTGTCTCGGAAAAAAAATATTTAAGCAGGCAGATTCGAAGGTCAGATTCAAAACACCTGAGAGAACCCTTCCAGCACCTAACATAGATTTAAAAAACTTCACAAAATTTTAAGTTTTCGACAAGTACTTCTGAAAACTTCACGTCATGTCTCCGAAACCAGAAGGATTTGGGCAATCATATTTGTAGCCAAGAATCGCAACCTGTAAGAGCAATCTGTGAGAGCACCCTGACAGCACCCCACTATAGTGTTAGCAATTTCAAATGATGACGTTTGGAAATTTTTGAAAAATCGCAACAATCGTCAAACCTCGTAAGCTTAAAGATTTTGTATTCATATTAGATGGCCATATTCGTAACTCCCAGAAGAAATCTGACGTACCCAGCCAGAGGGTTGCTAATTTCGAATTTAGTTTAATTAAAACAAACGATAAACAAAGAAAACAATGTATAGATGGATGAATCCCACCTTTACACTATCCTTCACTGCGCTGCCCTTCTCCTTCCCTCCCTTGCTGGCATCATTTTGGAAAATCGAAAAACTTAAGCTTTGTTATATACGATATAGCTTGAACTCGCAAAAATTCTTTCGTTAAACAAGCAAAAATAATAGCTGAAAAAAGTTAAACACGGAAAGATAAGTAAAAGCCCGCATATAAATAGATTATAGATTATCCGGGTGACACACATCTAACAAAGAGCTTACTCCAAAACATTGACAACCACTTAATTTCTATAGTTTTTCATGATATACTTTTTCTATGCCAGCTTTAATCGATCAAAAACGTGATCTTAAGATTTTCTTTGTTCAGCTGTTTACTTTCATAAACAAAAAGCATATAGAAAATAAATCCCCATTTTTGTCTTTTTCACTTCCTTGCCAAATTTCATTTCATTTCATTTCAGGTCAAACCCAGTTCGCAGAAATCAAATTGAAGAATTGTATTGAAAAGGGCAAGGTCAACCAACACACAACTACAAAGTGGGAATGAACTTAAATATGATCACATATGCTACAAATGCGTTCATTAAAAGATTTCACAATTCATTCAATCATTTTAAATTTGATGAAAATTTTTATAATGCGTTTTCAGTGTCGCTCAGTACATTAATACTTTGAACGTGGACGACATAGTGAATAGTAACTTTAACCGCGAATGGAACTTTGTTAAAACTACCTATTTTGAACGTATTTTAGCTCCACTTCTAAACTTACCGGAGAAAACAACTGAAATGGTGAAATGAATTAGCAGTTTGCGCAATAAGTTATCAAGCCGCCAAAACAAAAGCGAGAAAGAAACTTTTACTTCAAAACAAAATAACGCGACCAGAATAAACCAAGCCAACCGAACTGAGAAACGTTGCAAAAATGCATAATGAAACATCCTTCAACTTACCTGTTCATCAGTGTTTCTTCTCTTTTCTGCAAGTGGTGGATGGACTGCCTCGCGCCCTGCAACTCAATCTCCAGCTGATTAATTCTACTCCTCAACAACTCCACCTCCTCGCGAGAGGAATCCTCCGAGTTGCGCTTGGCGTTGAATTTCACATTCCTTGGAGTGGTAGCTGAAAAAAAACATTCACATGCTCGGAGATTTAATCATCATTAACTTGGAAAAAAAATGACTTCAAGAAAAATAAACAAAAAAGAATAAATACTACTAATACTCATGACATCACAGCCACATCAACCACGGAAAAACATAGCCAACAGAGAGCTGAACACAGAGGCGAACCGGAGCTTCGCATCACTTGCGATAAAAAAATGAATGACTATGATCAGCAGCAAATGAAGACAAAATCTTCAAAAAAATTCGTTTTGTTTTGTCTAAAAGTTTAACACAGAGGCGTAGCTGCGCTTCGCAAAAACTAGCAGGAAACGACAAAGCAGCTTTAGAAAGTAAAATAAAAAAAACAGAAATGAGCCTCGAATTAGTATAACTTAGCAACGTATTGGCTTCAAACCTTTAAGAACGTTTAATAATCAGCAAACACTAGTCGCAAATAAAGCAGCTACCTGTGCTAATAAATTGCCAAAGCCATGCAGAAAAAGTGGCACCAAAAACAAATAGTCACATTTTTGCAGGAAATAATTTGGAATATAACAAACTAAAGGCATCCACATTAACTTTATGAAGCAAATTGGTAATCATAAAACCACGCCTTGCATGAATTATGCAATTTAAAAGAAATCGAGTTTTCGGAAATCGAGTTTTCATTATTGTTATGTTATTTGAAACAAACAGCTTTTTTCGGTTCAATTGATGAACTAAGCCTATTGATGAACTTATTACTATTCGAATGTCAAAACACATGCTATCGAAAAATTCCGAAGGTGCCCCAAAAGTGGCACCAATATTTGCGACTTAGGTTAGAAAAAAAAGAAAAGTATAAAAGCAATGCTACCTTAAGTTCGCTAGTGTAAAAATTGCCAAATAGGACAAAAAATTCCTGGAAAAAAATTATTTGCCTCATTAGAAACTCTAGAAAGAGTTTTCAAAATGCTAAAAAGAAACTGAAGCTTTCTGCGGGAACTAAGCCGACGAAAATCAGCAGACAGACATTTAGGTCTAAAATATTCGAAAATGTTCAGTTTCCACAAAAAAAAACAGATTACGACTGGAAACGAACTTCTGGGATTTATCGTCTGAAGTATGGTTCTTACAACTGCAACAAATCACAGAACGCTCCATGAAATTATAAAGAAAACAGCTTCCAAAAACCTTTAATGAACAGCATGAAAAAAAATCAAAAAATTCCAAAAAACAGTAGCACTCAATTACTTGCCCAAAACCGAAATACACTGAAAAAATTTTAGTTTGAGTAAAAAAAAGCCCAACTTCAGGCAAAAGTTGTGCTGCGGCCACTAAGCCGACAAAAAAGCAAACAAACAGAAGTCCGACAAAGAATTTTGACACGGAGAAAATTTTCCGCTTACAAAAAAAACAGGTCTTGGCCCGATTCGAACTATAGACATTTGTCTTTCAAGGCAGGCGAATTAGCTCTTCGCCACATGCGGGAATTACCGCCTGAATTTTGATTTCACATGAAGCACAGGTAAAATCATTCAAGCGATTCTGTTAAACTAGTTTTAACCTGAAAAAGTCTATATTCCGGTTTGATAACTCTTGTTTTCAGTTTACAGAATTTACATCATTGATTCATCATACCTGATGTTGATACTGAAGTGGCTCTGTGACCGGGTGGGATATTCTGAGGCGTCGCAAAGTGAAGGAAATCTCCATTCGAATCGCCCGATTGGGAGGAGGGAAGGGATGAAGATATGTCTCCGACTGTGCCATTTTGCAACACTGATTGACCTGCGAATAGAACGGCATAGTAGAATTAGAAAACATTTCGTTTTTTATTCACTAAGACCAAATAATAAACAAAGGTAGCCAGTTACAGTGCGAGCAGTACAAATTTTATCGAACATCGTTGCTACTTAAAAACAAAGAAAATTAAAACATAGACAACAGACAGTTGGAAAGTGTTAATGATCTCAAAGAGCTCTGATTAACATGACTTATTTTTTCAACATTCAAACAAAAAATTTTATTGAATTTTGTTTGAATTTCAAGAATCTTTTACGGCTGATAATTGACATTTTTTTTTCAAAAAAAGGGCCCGACTAGAAAAAACGGAATCAATATGTAGATTTTTTATTCGGCAATAAAAGCTCAAAATAAAATTCCACTTTCGAAGCTAAAAAACCATTCACGATTACTGGCGTCATTTCCACTTTGGTTATGGGTGAGTGTAATTTGCCTTCATTTTAGCAATTGAACTTGAATTGAACTGGACAAGAAACCAAAAATCAAATAGCGAACAATCAAATTTGAGCATAAACAACTGAAATCACTGTTAAAGGATAAATCACTTCACTTTTTACACTCAAAATCAAATAGTTTCTAGACTTCAGTAAGTGATAAATTAAACAACTCATAGAGCTTAATAAACGATAAACCACTTCGTTCTTTAACACTTAAAATCGAACAGCTCATCCTCAAATGAATACTAAATCATATGAAGACTTTTCCGTTATTCGCTCTAAAATTACGCAGCAAAAAAAAATTTCCTCGACATAAACTAACTTTCTTTAGAAATAAAATCACGAACAACTCATTTAATATGATACCACACTTGACCCTCATTTGAGATTTGTTTACGGCACTTAAAATTGAGCGGAAAATTTCATCCTGGGCTACAGTTCCTTCTCACTTTCTCAAGGGATGGTCAGCATTACTACCTATAAACTGCAAAAAGGTCATTTAGTTAACATTTTTTAAAAATCACTTTCAACATAACTAACGAATGAAAGACCACACAAGCTTAAGCATCAATTTTGATAAAACTTTTGCTATCGAACCTCAGACCTGGTAATCACGAGTCTGACGTCCTCACATCTGCACCACGATCACTTTAAAATAGACTGATGCTAGCTACCAACAAAACAGGCAAAGTAGCTACTAAATTGTCAATGCTACGCAGCAAAAGTGCTATCAAATGAATATAGCAAACAAACAGTTGGAAATGAGTCGATAAACGAAAGGAAACAGAAAAAATCCTGACTTATTTCTTAAAAAAACGTCAACTTCGAACTTCAGAAATTAAATGCCCGTAAAGCTCTTTGAAATTCAAAAACAATTTACAATTAACACTTTTTTAATTAACATAACCTCAATTTGAGAAAACTAGACCGACAGGTAAAATTTATATTCCGTAGGGAAATCTGGAAATTAAAAACCACTGTCGAAATTAGAAGTCGACCGTGTTTTTTGCAGCCTTTACACTTTGGCTGTTCAATAGTAAAGTTTGTCTTCCTTTTAATAAAGTAAATGAACTGAACTTCAGAAGAAATCGAAAGTCAACACAGAGGCGAAGCGGAGCTTTGCAACACTTGCGATGCAAAAAAAACATTGCGCTACAAATCGTGAGAGAAAAGACAGAAAAAAAAACGAATGAAAAAAAAAGTAAAAAAATTGACAAAAGTTGAAAATTACAGCTAGAAAAACTTCAAAAAAAACAGCCCTCAAAAAACGGCAACAAATATATATCAAGCGGCAACAAATTCGACATACATTGAGTTGAAACCCGTTAAGCCGAAAACAAAACTGTTGTCAAAAAAATTTCAATGAATTTAAAAGTTTTTACGATCCATCCAAGCTAAAACACATAATCCCGAACGGATATGTTTTGCCCTGGAAATTACTCAAAATTATTTGACTAAGTCGATATAACATAAGCTGAAATTGACATATTAAAAAAAAACGAAATAAAACTTAAAAAAAACTCGAAATCAGACATGGTAAAATTACAAACTTGTGAAGTTTCAATTTAAGTAAAACTGTTTGAATTGGAACAAAACCCATGTTTTAAAAAGCAAAGCAAAAAAACCTACAAGATTAAAAAATGGCGTTTAAAAAACCGGAAAATGAACAGACAGAAACTAGGACGAAAACCAGAAACCCGAAAAAAAATTGACATTTTTTGAAAAAATAATTAGAACCTGGAACAGGCTTGAACCAATAACTAGCTTTTGGTACTATTTGCATTTTCAAGAAATTGAGCATGTCAGATGAAAGATCCTCTAGAAGTGAAGATCCTATAGAAGTGGTCCTCTAGAAGTGAAGATCCGGTGAATAAAGTTGTTTACGGGCAAAAAAGTCTAGAGCCCGATTGCATTACTCTTGCTTATTGCAAGGGTAAATAGCGAAATTTCAAACTCAAAGAAAACAATTTTAAAAATAGTCGACCTTTAAAATAGTCCTCGCTAGAATCATCGACTACAAAAAAAGCTTAGTTTCGGATTTGAATCTCCGACCTGTAGATTAGGAGTCTCATCACCGCGCATCTGCACCATGATCGCTAAGTAGTATATTTATACTAGCCATCAATAAAGCAGCAATTGATTCTATAAAATTGCCTATGGTTGGAAATTTACCAAAAGTGTCAGCAAATGAGCACTTCTTTTCGACTAAGGTTGGAAAAAAATTGCATACCAGTATTACACTACGCTCCGATTGTTTTAAGAATTAATCTGGCAGAAACTCTTTCAGTGTCAAAGGCTCGTTTATCTGCAAAATGAAAAAAAAAATGACGGAACGATATCCGCCCTAAACCAAAAGTGGATCGTTGCTAGGGTGAATCTTATTGTTACAAAAAAAAACTTGCTTCATGTTTGTAACACAAGCTATCATCAATGAAACTTTCTGTAATGATGAAACTTACTTTTGCTCTTTTTCACAACTGCAAAAATTTCATTCAAGTTCCTCATCTTCCAAATTACCAGAAAAAAAGTTAAATAAGTTTAAAGAAGATCGATAAAACTGAAGAGACAAGCGGATTAACTCAAGTAAACATACGATAACGCTTCGCAGATAGAGATAGAACGGTTCCAATGTTCAACTTCAATTCAAACGTATCTACTATCAATTACGAACGAACAACGCAAAACACTACCAGGCTAATATGGTAGAGCAAACTTTTAACTTCTGCAGATCACTTTGCACGAAGAGAATGGTAACAACACATGGAGCAATCCAAAATCCAGTTTATACGGAGTGTAACTATTTTCCATTTGAGGATAGCACAGGAAAATCCAACGAAAGGGAATATCCAAATTTGGAATATTTCAACCGTCACAGTACAAACTGTATTTTTTCAAAACTTGAACTGAACCACATAATGATAACTGGTTTAAAAAAAAATTGAAAAAAGCGATGTACGCTTTCTTTTCATTGACAGAATATCCGTATTTTCTTCTTGTTGGACGTTCGGCTGGTAGGTCATCAACCACTGGCTCGTGTATTTATAAGGGGGATATATTTATTCCCAGACCTATTTCCACTCTGTTTGCAGTTCATAATGTTCATTTCTAGCAAAAGCGTTCTGGTTTTTAGTAAAAATTCCATTTCCTGAAAATTGCGCTTTTGATTTTAAGCGTTTGAAGCGAGCCGTATTCAACCAATTCAAGGATATTTTGGAAATAAATAGCCCGCAGAAATTAAAGTTCCTTCAGTTAACCGTGAAACCATTCTAATAACTACCATTACTTAAGCCACTGTTAGGGAGAAATAAAAACTTCCCGTCAAAGTTAGAAAAAGTGGAAAAGTTTCGCGCACAATACTTAGACAAATTGAGCATTTTGAAACAAATAATGAACGTAACATTTGATTGAAAACGCTAATAATGGACAGAAATTGAAGTGTATTTCGGTAGCTAAAGCGCAACTTAACTACGCTCGTAACAATGAAATGAACACAGCGGTGAAGCTGCCCTCCTCCGAAAAAAAAACAGGACAAAAGAGCTAAAACTTCAAAGGAAATAGCAAGAAGCTACTTGTTTATACCTTGAAAGAAAATCAATCAAGTAAATCCCAAAAAACGGGAATCGATTTCAAAACTCCCTACCATGATTTACTTTTCTTAATCATTTAACCATATCCTCTTTTTTAACATATCCTCTTTTTTAACACTAAAAATAATCTTTATTTTTAGACATAAGTCAGTGCAGTAAAAAATGAGCTTTTAATCAATCTTAAGTAATTACTAACTTCAGAAATCAAAAAATGCTTTCAAGTAATCAGTCGGCTTGAGAAGTTGTTTGTCAATCTGATCAAGCTGACCAAATTAAGCCATATCGTAAATCTTTCTGAAAAAAAAACATAATTTTGGTAAGCCGATTCGAAGATTTCTAAGCAAGCTACAAAACTTTATTTCGAGTTACTTCATCAAATGAATCAGCCTACGGAATTTTAAATTTTTCTCAGCAAACTATTCAAGTGATGAAACTATGAAATATTTCAAGTTTTTACATAGAGCCAACTGGTTCGCAAATTCCATTTTTTTGTAGGCAAGCTTTTCAAGCCAAGAAATTTAAATACATACAGTTTTTTCATGAAGCGAATCGGTTGGCAAAGTTTTTCTATGCAAGCCATTCAAGCAATTAAACCTGGAAATATTTCATGAAGCAAATCGGCTGGGGGTAAATTTAAGTGTTTTAATGAAGCCAATCAAGCGATGAACTTTAGAAACAAATTAGGTTGTTTCATAGAACGAATCAGCTCGCGAAAAGTTAAAGTTCTTTATATATGCGTTTATTTCATTGACGAGTCGGTTCGCAAAAAAAATAAGTTCTTCTCATCAAACTATTCAACCTATTGAACTTTGAAAAACCTCAGATTGTTTCATAAATCAAATCAGTGTGAAACATTTAAGTTTTTCTAAGCCAGTTATTCAAGCTACGAATTTTTGAAATACTTATCATTTTATAGGCCAAATCAGTTCAACAATTTAAGTTTTTCTAATCAAGCAACGAATCTTTGAAAATTTTGAACTTTTTTGTAGGCCAAATTGGTTTGCGAACAAATCAGGTTTTTCTAAGCAAGCTAATCAAGCTACGAAGCTTAAAAATTACAAGTTATTTCATGAAGCGAATCTATAGGCAAAGAACAATTTTTTATTTTGAAGCCATTTTTATATTGAAGCCACAGTTTTTCTTAACAAGCCATTCGAGCAATGAAAAATTGAAATAATTCAGGTTATTAATAAGATGTTAGCTGTTCAAACGATGAACAAATTTCAATTTTTTAATACTTAATTTATTTCATAGACCGAGTCGATTCGCAAAAATTCAAGTTTTTCTAAAAAAAAAACCGTTGACGCTAAGTAAATTTGAAAAATTTTCAGTTATTTCCCAGACTAATTCGGTTCGCGAAAAGTTTTGGTTCTTCAAAGCAAGCTATTCAACCAATGAACTGCTGAAATATTTCATGTTAATTCATCGACCGAATTAGTTTTCTAATCAAGAAGCTTTGAAATTCGTCAAGTTATTTCCGAGCGCGAATCAGTTTTCCAAAAAATTGTTTGCCTTTCTGTCATTTGTTTAATATTTAAGATATAAAAACAGTGCCAAACTTTTGTCATTCGTTTAATATATAAGATTTATGCGCAACGCCAACTGCTCTGTGGACGCAATGTTTAAGCTATTTTCATAGGGGACAAAGGTTAACAAAAGGAGTTAGGGACAAGATTTAAGCAAAAAGTTCTGGAAGTTTTTTGAAGTTTTTTTTTCAATACAAAATCTGCAAAATTATCAACCTAAAATCCTTCTTTAGGTCAAGGTTTAGGTCAAAAAGTTTAGGTTAAGATCAATGTCAGAAGATTCGAGTGACTAAAGCCAAAATTTCAAATTCCCTAAGTATAGTCAGGTGCTGTCAAAATACTCTCAGGAGTTGGAAAACTTGCCTACAAATATGCTCAAATCCGTTTGGCTTCCGAGATATGACGTTTTTTTATCATTTTTCCATAAATACTTCGAAAAATTTTTTTAAATAAAACTTCACGAAAAATGAAATTAGCAGCCCTATATTCGGGTTCTGTAAAGGTACTTTCAAGGTTCGCAAATGTTGTCTCCTAATATGTCTACTCGAAACCTTTAAGCCTCCATATGTCTGCTCAAACCTTTTACAGATATGTCGTTTTCCATGATTTTTTGAAAGACTTTCGAAAAAATTAGGGGTAAGAAATTTCTAGAGGTAAGAAACTTGACTAAGTTTGAAACAAGCAACTTGGGGTACCCTCAAGAGCTGCAATATTGAACTTTAAATTTGAAAAACCAAACCTTTTACTCTACGAGATATGACAAATTTGATTATTTATTCATAAATTTTCAAAATGCTAGGATTTTCAAAAAAAAACTAAATTTCAAATTTCCAACCCTGTAATGAAAAAAAGCTAGGAAATTTTCATAGGTTGCAAGTCTTGCCTCCAAATATGTCAGCTCAAATCCTTGTGGCTTCCGAGATATGAAATTTTCTATTATTTAAAAAAAAATTCAAAAATTTTCAAGTAAACACCTCGTAAAAATTTAAATTAGCAACCCAACAGCAGGGTTTTTTCAGGGTAGTTTCAGATATTCTTCAGCAATCTTGCCTGAAAATATTTCTGCTGAAATCCACGTTTATATTTAAAAACTTCGTAAAACTTGATATTCCCAACCCCAGAGTCGAGTTCTGTCAGGGTACTTCGAAGGATTGCAAATTTTACGTTCAAATATGTCTGCTCAAATCCTTTGGTCTTCCCAGTTATGACGTTGTTCATGTTTAAAAAAAAATTCGAAAATGTAGATGTAAAAAACAAATTTTGAAATTAGCAACCCTACGTTGGTGGCTGTCATGGTTGCCTCAAAAATGGCTGACCGAAACCTTTTAGCTTCCGAGATACGGCGGATTTTATGATTTATCGGAAAATTTGGATTTCAAAAACTTCACAGAATTTGAATTCAGCAAACCTACGGTAGGGTAGTATTAGGTTCTTCCAGGGGTTGTAAAAATGGCCTAGAGATTTGAAGAACCAAAGGCTTTTTAGTTAAATCAAACAACTTTTTTTTTTTTTCATAATCTTTCAAAATGATTTCTAAAACTTATCAAATTTGACACTCCCAAACATATTTTGGGTTGCTGTCATGGTGCACTAAAGAAGTTGCAAACCTGGCCTTCAAATTTGGCTGCTCAAAACTTTTCATCTACCATTTTTAATTTCTTCGCTTAAAGGATTGAAGTTTTCACAAAACTTAAATTTGAAAAACTGACCAAAGTTTGAAATTCCCAACCCAATAGTGCAATAGTGGAGTGCTGTCCGGTTGCTTTCGACGTCTTTTATTAAACGCACAGTTGCTATATGAAATTTTGCCCAAGTTGTGTTTAAATCATCGCTGGAATGGCCTGATTAGATAAACTAACTTTTTACCAGTCCTTTCATTATATTTCACAAAATTTGCGCGACCCAACTAACATACTTGTACCCGGGTTCAAGCTAAAATACGTTGAATTATTTCAAAGATTCGTTGCTTTCTGTGAGCCGATTGATTAACGAAGACGTACTTGCTAGTTAACGCGAAAACGTTGAAGCAGAATATGCGACTTTGGTAGGGAAACAATGTTCAACTTTATATGCTTGCTGGTGTAAAAAGTTCTTATAAGGAATCTTATACAAATATTATATTAACTATCACTTACTTTCTTTTCTATCCACTTCGTTTCCCAGCTTTGGCAGGGGTGAAATATATCTCGAGTCTCGAAAATCATTTTGGACGTTATCAGCAGCGTCTGATGACTGAAGTTCGTTTTCGCTTCTAGATGAACCAGACTTGACATATGTTTCGTTTGGTGTTTGACCAGGCACTGGAGACGCCGGGTTAGACTGTGATCTGGATCTTTTATCTTTAGCCCTTCTACGCTGTCTCCGCATTGCTTTTTTACTGTTCTTTTTTGGTGATTGGATCTGTTGTTCCTGAGTATTAACACCGAAATTGTAGTTTGAAATTGGAATGTTACTTTCCGAGGGCTGCTTTGATTCACTTGCAACCATTTGACTTTTTGCTACATTGCAGGATCCCGGGTAAGACGATGAATAACCTAAAAATAGCCAACAGGCAGTTAAACGAGTCAGTGAACGCAAGAAAACAAAAAAAAATTAAAAAACAAAAACTTTAACTTTCAAAATTGGAAGGAGAAAAGATAAGGACTTGACACTTTTCGATAAAACTAACCCAATTTGAAAAAACTCGATCAAAAGGTGTTAACTGTTTTTTTTTCCGTTGGAATTCCATTTTCGAAACTATAAGCAGATCGCGTTTTTCATTCATCAATTTTGCTGTTCGTTAGTGTAATCCGCCTTCCTTTTAACAAAGAGCACTGAAATTGAAAAGTTATACAATGTCATACCGCGAAAAATCAAATTTGAGTGTGAACAAACTTTAGGAGATTTTCCTGAAAAGAGCAAGAAAATGGTAACTTTTCAAATGGCATAATTCCCAAGCGGCATTTTAAAAAGTTTTTTTTTTTGAAATGGCATCAATTTCGATTTTTAAATGAAGCTTCAACGCTTTTAACCGACTAATATCTCTCCTTTTTATCAATTAGGAAAACATGTGAACAAGATTTGTAATTATCTGCTTCGAACCAACTGTTGAACGATAAGTTTGCTGAAACAATTGACCACAAATGAGTAATTAGTAACATCAATCTTATGCTTTTGATAACAAGACTAAATACCCATCAACTGAATTGACATATTTACTAATTTTCACACCTTGTTCACAAACAAGCGTCTCTGGAAATGCTTTTTCACTGCAACTGTTGCATACCGTTTATGCCATTCGGGAAATTTTGGATTTTGATGCCAATAGGGAAAAATATCAGAAGACAAAATCAAAAAAAAATCATTACGACCTATAAAAAACTACACTTCATTTCTTGACTCTTAACATATAAAAAAAAATGTGTAATTTCTTCACCAACGCTGAAAACTTTACCGACATTATTAAATAGCCGAAACTTTGGTTCAGATTTTAAGATGACAAAACACTAACCATTTTCGCTAGGCGGCGTCTCATCGTTCGGAATCATGTAATACAATGCCTTCTCGATGGCCTTCAAATAGTTGGTTAGAGTGACTCCTAATTTATCGTTGGCATTGTGCCTGCATATGTCGTTACCAGATACCAACACTTTCTTGTCCAGATGAATTCTCTCGCAAAGACTGTCGTACAAGTCAATCAGCGGAGATGTCTCGAACGAAGGCTGGATGACGTTCCAAAATGCTTGAAACATGTTTATTATGCATGTAAAGGGTAATTAATTTCTAGAAAATTATGGATATTTCAGCTTAGTTAAATGATAATTAACTAACGAGCATCGACCAAATTACGCTAACGAAAAATCTAGCAAACCTTTATTTTTGTATAGCCTTTGCTGCACATCCTTGTAAGTAACTTCCATCAGCCTTTGATGATTCATTCCTTGAGGACTCCCACTTGCTTTACTCATTACATCATCTCCTCCTCCATTTTTACCCGTACTTTTATTAGGAGACTTAACTGGACTTTGGCTGGGACTGCTTATTGGTGATACCGGATTTTTGCCCTTAGAGACAGGCGCAGAGACCAAGTTCATGGTTTTGAGGCACTTGAGGGCTTGTTTGTATTGGTTGATGATTTCATCTAGCTCGAGATGCAGAGCGTCGTGTAGGTGCAGCATCTGGTCATTGTAGCTCACCAATGAATGTACGCCTAGACCCTCTACATGTGTTCTGACTGTCTCTGAGTGTAAAACAAAACAGGTCTAATAACACTAAAACATAGCCCACAGGCAGTTGGAAAAAAGTCAATAAACGCAAGTCAGCTTTCGAATTTCGAAGTTCTCTGAAGTAGTTAATGATTGCCACTATTAATACATTGAGAAAACGAACAGTAGGTTCATTTTTTAATCTTTTGGGAAATCTGAAAAATAAAAACTCGAAATTAGAATTCGATCACTTTCTACAGAAAGGCGAAACTGAGGTTCGTCCACTTGCGATACACAAGCAAAAAAAATCGAAACCAAAAATGTCGAAAATGCAGCAAAGTGGGAAATTAGGATTGGAAAAAAGAATCAGTAACAAAGCCGAAAACACTTAAACTAGATAACCTTCGAGCCGCAATTCAGAAAGATTTAAAACATGAAAAATTTCGAAGCCCTCCTCTTCCTCAAAACACATCCATACGCACACAAAAATTCTCCCGCTTATCAAACGAGAACAGGCTAAAAAAAAGGAAGAAAAAAAACAAAACGAATATATTTTTTGAAAAACTGTCCAAATAATGATCCACCTAAGTTTTCATGTCATTTCTTGATTTTGTCTCAAACTTAAATCCTCTCAAAAACCATGCCAAGAATAACAATTGAATAATGAACAAAGATAGCCGGTTGCTGTGTCAATAGCACAGAATGTTCCGACCACATTCTCAGAAAAACGTAGCGAATTAGTTAGAAAGGCTCCAACTGTCCTAAAAATAATTAAATAACCTGAAAAAAAGTCCGATATTTAAAAAAAATTTTGCACTAAAAATTCAAAATATTTTTGATAGTTTTATTTTGCCAGAGAAGAGCTGAATGAAACTTCCAAAACTAGTTGCCCTTGAGTAAAATCAAATTTTTTGGCCTAAATTGCTAATTTTCATATATATCAAACGTTCAAAACGGTTTTTCTCAACGCCAGAACATTTTTTTTTCAATTTTTTAATGTCGTTCGAATCACGGCTGAAGTGGCTTCAATATGATATATAATTCGACTCTGTCCGATGATTATTTGTATTACCTGATTTTGCGTGGAAAAGAAGTTAAAAGAAGGTAAAGAAAAAACTAAAACACGAAATACAATGTTCCTCCCCACTTTCAATAGTCGGAACAATAAACATCCAAACAAAAATAAAATAATAAAAGTGGTAAAAAGTAAACCGAAAATTCTTGAGCAGACATCAGTTGAGCCAGAAAAAAAAGATTTCACAAAAACAAGTTTTCAAGTCCCCCTCAAAACATTTATATAAAAACACATTTTGCTCATGAATCTTCATGATGCCGCTCAGCCGATATAATGCCGCTAAGCCGATATAAAATAAGCCGAAACCTTTTAAGCCAAATGAAAAAACGATATGAAGAGAAAAAACGATATAATGAAATTGGAGTTGGTAACTTCACCAAAATAAGAAACGGGCATTTAAATCGCAAGCACTCTTAAAAAAAGTCGTCGGATAGTTGACGAAATTACAGCAAGGAAAATGGCCTAATTTTCAGTTATGTTGCGAACAAAGTTGTTCACCTGGGAAAAAATCTAGTACACGGTTACAACAACCTTGCTTATCGCAAGGGTAACAAAGGAAATAAACAGAACTTAAACAGAAATCAAAAGTCAAACCGCGAAAAATCAAATCTTAGCGTGAACATATTTTAAGACTTTTTCCTGTAAAACCAAACAAACAAAAAATCTTAAAGACCTGTAGAAGTATCTTCACTGCGTTCATCGAGTCTTAAACAGTAAATTAAACTAACATAATATAAGTATTTCTTCTTCTTCGCCTCAGATTCCAATTTCAAGCTGTATTGCATGTAATACTGTCTAAGGCTATGTAACTCACTTTGATTTGTTTTCAATTCTTCCACATTTCTAGGTGCAACGGTCGAGATAATTCTAAGAATATCTCCACACAGGTTATCATAGGTTCTTTTAGCATCACTGTTTCCTCCACCACCAGTACCGATAAAATCATTGTAGAAGAACTTAACACATGTCTGAATAGTGTCATTTACGCACAATAAGTCGATGGGGAAGTTGCCAGGGCTTAGAAGTAAGAACCTTAAGCAAGCCAAATGATGAGTATGCAACGATTGAGCTCGCTAGTCACTAAATTGATTAAGTCAAGAAGTCATTTCTACATACCTTACATATATTGACTGCATAACAACTAAACTATAGGGAATTTTTTGGCACAAGATGGAAAAGCTTTCGATACGCAAGGATTCTCTGAGAGTTGGAATGTCCATAGTTTCAACTAAAAGCGCAGCTCCTTCAAAGTTCCTACGCTGCAACGCATCCAGAAACTTGATGGATACGTTGTGACTGCCACTGTTGCTGCTCGTCATCTCATTTCTTGAACCAACTTCTCCAGACTCACTAAGCATTTGACAAACTAAAAAATACTATACTAGTAATAGTATAACTACATTACTAAAAATTAGATCTGATTGATTTACGACAAAATAGAAACCACAAAACCATCGGCGTCGGTCCATACAACAGAAAATTGAATGCGGACCAATAAACCTGAAATCAACAAAACGGTCCACTCACACGGAACTTGGAACCCATTCACCCAAAAAATTCCCCTATCTCGGTCACCGCATCTTAATCTCTGTAGACTATTTGGTTTATCGATCAAATCAATGGATGAAAACAAATATGTTGCCGTTTATTTATTAGATTTATCAAAGCTTCCGATTCTATCACCCAGAACATTTAATGAACAAATTGAAAGATTTGGGATTCTCAGAATCAGCAATTCAAATGATTCATAGCTTTATAAACAATAGACAACAGAAAACTGTAGCAAATAAGGATCTCACTTCACCAAGGCGTACCTCAAGGCACAATTTTAGGACACCTAATTTTTAACCTATTCATAACTGAATTGAACAAAAATTTAACTGAATCTTGCAAAGTGGTACAATATGCACATGATACACTTCTATTTTGTGGTGATAATGACATCATAAATGCTCTACAGCTACAGCAAAACTCCTGTCAGACTTTGTCTCTGTACAAAACATTCTCTAAAACTCAACACAATGAAAACTGAGTTGATAAATTTAGCAAAAAAACATCCAGGCAGAAACCACAATTCAACGTTCAGTATAATTTTAGATAACAAAATAGCAAAAAAGCCAAGAGTTAAATATTTGGGGGTATCTTTAACAGTTGGTCATACTACAGAAGTTCAAGTAATTTTTGGTTAGAATTAAATTTTCCACACAACGTTCTCTATCTCGATCTGTGTTGAAAGCGAATATACACACCAATTAGAAGTGTGCTGAGTTAAAGGTGGAGTAAGAGATGTAACAGTCGTCCGCTTGTGTCACATATGAGGTTAAGAAAAATAAGCCCTGTAACAATTGGCTCAAGGGTCAGGGACACTATCTCTTGTGTTTTTGTACCTCATTCTGTCGGAGCCCATTCGGTTCGCTTAAGACATGTGACTGAAAAATTTGTTACAGCCTAAAGAGAACAACCAAAATACCCCCCCCCCCCCCCACTTTAGAAATAAGGACGACCCCATGTCTAGTTCTCTAAATGCCTAAAACACGCGAATGCCGTTAAAAACAGGGTTGGAAACTCAAGTATACCATTAGTTACTATAGGACAGTGGACCTTTGATCCATTTCAGATGGATCAACCTAAAACCCACCTTATTTCAAAATAACTATGTGAAAATACATTCAATAAATTAATTCGAGTACTCTCATAGTGATGCGACTCTAGAAATTAAGTAAATAAGGAAAGCAAAGCGAGTTTTACTGGAAACAGTTCAGTAAAGGAAAGAGCAGTTTCGACGATTAACGGTCTTATTCGACAAAATGAACGGTTTGGAGAGGATCATTTTTTGCTGACAAGCCTATTTTTGCAAATTCGTTCAAAAAGAAAGACACGTGACATTTTTATATTTTCGCGAATACCGAAAAAAAAGCAATAATCAGAGACGCGATTTTCGCTAGTAAAGAACAGACGCACGAGCGATAGAGAAGAAACTTGAAACTACGTTCGAGAGTTTTATTAAAAGAGCAATCTGAATTAAAACGATTGTGCAGCTACAGTCTTAACAACCGAGAATCATGAGGGCAATTGGGAAGATTTTGCTACCCTTCCTGGTCGACAAAAAGACAGCCTTTTGACTAAATTCTATAATCCGGAAGGGTCCTGGGAAAAGACTGGAAACTGGTTTTTAAACAACTTTTAGCTTTCGGGAATGTCCTGAACTGAATTAAATAACATCAAATTGTTTTCAGAGAATGAGAAACTAGGAGTTGAGGGAACAGGTTGATCCATCTCCGATGGATACGATGATTTTTATCTAGTGAAACTGAACAGTTTTATTATAATAATTAAGTAGTAGCCCTGTTTTTAGGAGTGACTTCGTAGTCTGGGGATAATGAGACCCAGCCATAAATTCCTTATTTTTGCATACAACTAAGTTAATTTGCGCGGTTTGGCCGATAGCCGTAAATAATAATGACTTTGTCGACCCAATGTTAATGGACCACACATAAAACTGACTTTGGTAGGGACGGTTAAAAGCATGTGAAGCTGTGCTTAGATGCTAGCCAGTCGTTTTATAACTTAGCTTCATTTTCCGTTGGTATTTAATTCCTGGCGAATATTACAAATATGTTTATATTGCGCTCTTGGTGTTATTCTTTTAACATCATGATCGGCAGACCCGTTAACAAAGCAATCCGATCCGAGCGGATGCTCAAAATAAGGCCCTTAACGAGGAGCCGGAAGGGTGGTTCGGAACGCGGAAACCTTCCGGATTCTCGGTTTCAGCTTTTTAAACTAGTTAAGACCACAGTATACCTGTGCAGTATATGAACAAAACACTTTAAGATACACAAGAAACTAAACAAAAAGTAGTATAGTACCTAGGAAAAAACTAAAAACAACAAAAAAAAACGAAAAAGACAAAAAAAAACAGTAGAAAACATCCCCCAGACGAGTTGTCTTCGGCCTGTCCCATTTGTAGTTGTTGTATATATATTGTTGTTAAAGATATTCATATCAAGCTGGATTGTTCGAATAGAATTTGTGGCCTTTTTTGGTGCCTGTACTACAGGGTTGTTTGAGAATTTAAGCACGTTAATTCTAATTTGCGCTCAATCCGGAAGGGTCTCGGGATTAGAGAGGAAGAATGATCCGGCAGGCAGTCCAAGGAGCAACAGGAAGGGTCTCAAGGACAACAACAACCGATTGTCGTGCGTCGTTAACAAGTTTAATATCCAGTTTGGTACAGAAAGTACGATATCAATCTGTGAGGTGCTCGACCGTGACTGCACTGTAGTGACCCTCCACCGAGTTGCTAATTTCTGTGTTAAGCACCTTAATTCGGCTTTTGAACGGACCCAGAGGGGTATAGTACTATTATTAGTAGTATTTATACTGCTTGTAGTAATATTCTTATATCGGTTTTCAGTAAAACAGACCTCAAACAGACCAGTTTTTAGGGTCAAAATAGTGATATCTTGACCCCCACAAGTCGCGATTTTTGAGATATCAATACTTTTTGAAACAACAAAAGCGCTGGACTAACATAACTGGCTGGAAAAAACCCGGTTGAAATTAGTTCGGCAGTGCTTGGAACCAAATGGGTAACGAAATCCGTTTTTTCGTGACTTTTGAAAAAATGAAACAACACAAAATAAGAAAAATGTTCAAAATTTTGAGTTAGGGCGATAAAAATTTTTGTTCGGACATTGTTCACAGGTGAATCCACAGGTTTTAAATCCCGTTTGCCAACAACCTTCCTGGCCCCAGTGAAATTGAACTTAACGTGTTTGATTTAGTGGATTCATCAATCCATAGGGGTACAAATACCATTGTTTTAGGCAAATTACTTCAACTGAAACGATTTAGATCGGTTTTTTTCACTAAACTAAAAAATTATACACCTTCTGAGGTTGGATTGATAATTTCTTCGTCAATAAAACAAAAGTTGCGGAAAAATTTAGGCGGAACCTACAAGTTTGAAAATTTCTTGAATTAGCATAGAAGCCGTTTTGTTTTACAACTTAAGAACAACTGGAACGATCCAGTTCAAATTAGTACCTTTAGAACAGGAATTAAATAGGGTTAAGCGTTAGCTAAATGTTGTTTTTTTGAAATGACTAAGCATAGAAAAATTTCCAGATTGAAACCATTCTTGTTTTGTAATTTTTGTGGAAAGCCCTTATACCTCCACCAAATGGCAGCAACGGTTTACTAAGGCGTTTTTACGTTGTTCTCGACAACAAAGAAGGTTTAAGGAACCTAGAAAACGATAGTCAAATCAGAATTAGGCTTGTTAAAAGACCCCTCAGAGTTAAGGGAAAATGTTAAATAAGCAACTTAGCTTCAAACCGGAGGGGTCTGGAGCCAGAACAAACCTTTCCTAGCTAGTCGATTTTACATAATGGGCTCTAAGACCGTATCCGGAAGGGTCTTTGCCAAATTTTTCTTTGATAACTCGGAGGAATTATTTTGTGCCAATTCGTAGAGGTCCATATTTTGCCAATCCGGAAGAGTCACGTTTTGCCAATCCGGAGGGGTCCCAATTCAGAGGGGTCCTGTTTTTTGCCAATCCAGAAGGTTAATATTTGCCAATCTGGAGGGGCCATATTTTGCCAATCCGGAGGGTTCTCAATTTGGAGGTTTCCTGATTTTTGCCAATCCGGAAGGGTAATATTTTACCAATCCGGAGGGGTGCCAATTCGAAGGGGTCTTTTGCCAATCCGGAAGGGTATTATTTTGCCAATCAGGAGGGGTCCCAATTCGGAGGAGTCCTGATTTTTGGCTATCCGGAGGGGTTTCTGAACGCCGATGCGGAGGGGTCTAATTTTTTTTTATTACAAACGCAATCGTAGGGATCCTAGTACGTACGTAAGCGAAAACAAGCCATTTGGTGAGTATTAATAAGATATTAAGACAATTCGGCAGACCAAACAAGACAGGAAGCCAATGACTGCACTGGTAGTTTGCCGTTGAAAAAAAACTGAAAAACAATCGTAAAAGCAAAACAGGTCTAAACCCGGAGCCTTGCCACTCTAGGTCTAACCGAAGACAAAATTCGACACTGATCTATCATGATTAAAATTCAAAGTTGTTTTTTGGAAGTGTCGTTGCCTTGACAGATTTAGTAGGGCTAGCTCGGGCAATCCGAAGGGAGATAGGTAACACAGAGCTAGGTGGCTGCAAGAGTTGCCGCCCAATTGAGAAAAATACTGCTTTCTAGTTTTGTCTGTTTAGTGCGGCACTAAACAGGGAAAGTTCTTTCTTTAGAAACCATATCCACTATCAATTTGCGAAAAACCTATTGCAAGTCATGTACCTTTTTTTTGAAAATTTCATAACCTTTAATCCCTAATAATTGTTCTCGATTGGGTAGTG